ATACTGGCTCTTTGAAGAAGACATTTATAAGAAGAGAGCTTGCTAAAACTTTAGCACTTAGAGAAATCTCAGCAAGAGGTACATTAGGAAATGAATTGTCAAGCAGAAACAAAACCTAACCCTTAAAAAACCCTAACCCTCAAACCCTAACCCTTAAAAAGAAGTTTCTAGTGTCATGAATCACTTTCTTTGTATATCATTTTGTGTGGCACTTGTTTCCAACTGCACCCATTTTGAAAATTTTATGATGCCTATATTTAGAGATAAATCTGTATATGGATACCTAGCTTTCCATAGAATCTAACAGGGATAAGAACAAGCAAGTAAAGAAATCACTTATTTGACCTTTTTTTGAGCCCGTCAAAATTTCTGCTGCTCCTGTGACCTTCTCACTTTTCCTTCCTTTTCTCAAAGGATCCCAACCAATTGTGTAACAAACATGGTGATATCCTCATCCTATGTAACCAATTAAATCTTGCTTGCAATGACATCACAGTATGCAAACAAAGACAATTGGGGGGGAGGCAATCAGGTGTTTTGTTCAACTGACCTCACTCAAAATGGGCAAAGACTTAATTATTTCTTTTGATGTAACCCTTTAAAAATTACTGAAATATTGTCTCAGACTACCCAAAGTGCTCATGATGAATACTGAGGGCTAAAATCTGAATGTGTGAGGGTGCATTACTTGCTTCTTTCCCTAGGCAAGTGCACTCATGACTTTCAGGGTATGGAACTACTACATGCAGGGTCGGATAGCTCATCTGTTGGGCCCAAGATTGCCAATTCCAGTATACAGTTTGTCTCCTTGGTCTCTGACTACCTCTTTCTTAACTCTGCTGCACAAGATTTAGTTTGAATGAAGATGCCATGACTTGGAATTAAGACTAGAATATTCAAAGTCTGACACAACTATCAAATAATTGACCAATAAAACATATATAACCACAACTTGCTGAGGATAAACAATCTTGATGTGCCAGAAAGAGTGAAACCAAGCATCAGGTCAGTGGGCAAGCAGCAGATTTCATAGTCATTTCTGGAATCTGCACTTGCATTTTGGTATTTGCACTGCAACAACAGCCATTATTCCAAGTACATCATATTTCAGCTGAAGAACTTGGGGTTTTGAACTTCTGGATATGTTTCAGCCAGTTTCAACCTCTGCCACCAGAGGAAGGAAGGAACCATGTCTGGGATTTTGGACGGACCGTTTTGTCTTCAACTTTTTCTGCCTCCGATAAAGGAGGAAAACATTACGACTATGAGGATCATCTGTGACCAGATTCAGTTTGTCAGTTTTGATTCAAATCATTGCTTCAATCCAGTTTGATGATTCACATCAAATTGGAAAACTGAGTCAAGTTTAAAGCACTTTGAATCAATATTTCAGACCAGTTTCTCTCCCTTCCCGAGTCTTCTTTGCATGGATAAAAGAGGGATCCGGTTTGATAATCTGATTAAAGTTTCTAAACCAATTCAGAAAGTAGAGATGATTTAGAGACTCAATTAAATCAGTTTTGAACCCAAATCTCCAAAGTAAGCTTTGCATGGCCGTAGAAAATGCGATAAACCTGGGGTATGTTTTTCTGTTCATCTGGTTTCCATATTCTGTCTCGGACGGCATGGCCTGAATAGTGTTTGAGAATGAGGGTTCCTCTCCTATGAATTCTTTCTAAGCGCTCCTAGAGGATTTCTCTTTTACTCTACAATTTAGAAACAAGTAAATGAACCCTTGTTCTCAAACCATGGTATATGCTTGAGGTTCTAATATGAGACTTACTTCAGCACTTGTGCTTATCCGAGAGGTCCTTTTGATGGGGTCATCTGATTCCCAAGTAGTGTTGGTTACCCCGCAAATTTTGGGGGTTTCATCCTCTTTTTCTAGACTTTCATATTTGAAGACTGCATGGGCTTCACTGTCTGAGAGCTTCAAGGGTTCAATAAGATACTTCTCACCATCGCTCTTGAAATACCCTCTGTAAAAGAATTGTAGACTCTTTTTCAACAGAGTCATCAGAGGTGGATAACCAGTTTTAACTAACCAAGCCAACATCTCCTCTCTTTTTCAATCCCTCTTTAAAACTCCCTGAGACTTATTTTCTTTCCCCAGCATTCCTATCATTTTATCCTGCTTCTCAAAGGTACAGCTATGATCAGAATAATACAGGAGACACCATATTCTCAATACAATGACGAAATATCTGTACAATATTTGTAAGGAGATAGTTTAAGTCTTAAGATTCAAACAGTTTTCATGCATGTCTTTATTTCACAGGGGTGAAATACTGTATGTGCTATTAACCATATATTTCCCTCCTATAAACCTTCTAGCAAAGTGCCCAATCTGGCAACTTCTACTTATCTTCTTTCCCTGTAATATCACCTCCTATATATAAAGGGGACATGGGCTTGCAAGCTACTTTAGATGGAGATGATTTAGCTCCATCCTGTCTCTACTAGCTGGCAGCAGTTCTTCTTGGTATCCAACTAAAGTCTTTCTTAATTCTGCAGATGTCTAGGATAGAACCCAACTAATTTGCATGAAAAACTCATGTTCTACTGTTTAACTGCGACATCTTCAAGAGCAATAATAATAGCAACATCTTCATTCTTGATAAAAAAAAGTAAAAGACAAGACTCTCTCTTACTTCAAGCCATGGCACGCGCTGATGCTTGCAGTCGAGCCAGTATCATTCTGGATGCGACCATCATAGTAGCAGTGATCCTGTAGAGAGGCAAGAGAACTGCACTGGGCAAAGTGTGGAGTGTGATTTGGTGAGCAGGAGTACAGTTCCAATGTATTCCACAACATACATGAAGTAACGAGGAAGACAGAAACCAGTCCAGAATATTTTGAGTCAGGGGGACAGAAAACCTGTCTCGTACTGATTTCTCCAAGATGAACACAGGATCAACACAAGTCTCCATAAAAGCAAGTGTCACTGCACAAGCGTGCTCCCAAATCACTGAACCTTTCAATGGAGCTTACATGGGAGAACTTTGGGCTGCATAACCTGAACCCAGGGGAATCCACAGGGTATTGTCGAAAAACTCAAGTTGGTGGCACCATTACGATGCAACAAAGAACAGGCAGAGCTTTGATTGCACCCTTGTAGCTGCCAGCTTCATTTTTCTTCGCCATACTCTCTGGACAACCTGCCGGAATCTAACCCCATTCCATTCTATCGTTCTTCCTGGTGCTGCAAATTCCTGGATCAAGGCAACTACTCCTTTTTAATGTCACCATCAGATTGTTTCTACGGAAGATGCACACTCTCATTCTGTACTACTACTACTACTACTGCAGAACTAGGGAATATGGGATCCTCCAGATTTCAAGAATTCTGACGCCATCATTCCTGGATGGGGAAATGTTTTCTGGGCTGAGGCCATAAAAAAAAAATCTCAAAAAATTTCCCATAAAAAGTATTCTGTAAAAAAAAAATAGTTGAGCTCTAATTTTACACATGGATTTAAATTTACTAACGAGGAGGTGCTGGTATATAGGCATGTAAAGTACTTGGAGATTCAAATTAAAAAAAAA